TCCACGTTCACCCTTGTAGATACGCTCAGCTTCTTCTTCCATACTTTGCAATGCCTTGTTAACCTAACCACATAAACAAACTATAGGCAGTCTATCACAAGAACACCAAGAAAATACCTGTATAGCCCTCAAATATTACATATGCACACATGTTTTTAGTACAGTTAAAAGAAAATCATTATTCGCATTACTATGAGAAACAACTATGATATGTCCACAACTAAAAACCGGTTTACTGGTTTTGTGTATGACCATCGGACCCACAAGAAACATAAAGCAGAAGTGAATTGACTTCAGATGATAATCCAGAAGCAACAGCAACTTAGACTACAGCAACAAATTCTAATTAGGACTTCAGCATGATAGTTGGATGTTCTTATTTTTCTTGCTATTATGTCTGTTTCAGAGAAAAAATATTCTACCAAAGAACACCAAGGGTGTGAAACCCAATACAAAAAGATATTATTGATATTATTTTTTTCTTCATATTATTGTTATTCTAAAATTTCGTTGGCTTAGAACTTGCTATTACACTGTTTTTCTTTCACTAAGAAAATATAGGAGACAGTATTTGACAATTCAACTTAAAAATTTTTTCTCTTGAGCTTGTGGATTCTCTCTAACGAACCCAATCATAGACAACCAGGTCGCAAGTAACTTAAGCAAGCTTCACACTTGTTACAAAATTTTACCATTGATAAACCCATGATCAAATCCTAGTTGTGGGACAGTAACAAGCTTCTACAATAACAAAGCTTATTTATGATGTTCATATATATGTACATGTGATCTTTAACAAGTTGGACTCATCAATGCCCAAACAAATAGGTTTTGTGACATGCAAGTATTAAATTCTTCTTTTGGAGAAAGCTTTTTGTTGGCACATGCTGATTCATAAGCCTCTCTCTTATCAAGTTACTAATGAAAGGAATAGTTCCATGTGTGATAATAAGAAAGCAGTACTTCCATGCACCAAGACCATGAAAAAAGTTAACTAGTAAATTGGCATTTTCTAGAAGAGACGCAATTGATGCGATGGACCCATACAGATGGCACCATACGGTTCATTGGATTTGTCCTTAAGAATTTTAGCTTAATGTTGATCCTTGTACTGACTCCTAGGATGACAGTTCGGGGCCAAATGGATGTTGTCCTTTTGAAATTTTAATATGGCCATCTTGTATGGAGAAAACTAAAGCATGATCTTCCAAAAACAAAAGAAAAGAACGTAAGTATTGACTTTAGATATTGATTTTTTTACTTTGTTTTAAGTGCATCCATTATGAAGTGAAATTATGGATAAGTTGCTGTCCTGAAAGAAAAAGAGATAAAAACAGTCATTGTAAAGACAGAAAGAACCACCACGATGCCTTTTGTTTATATAGATGCATAAGTTGCTGTTTAAAAGCAAATGCTTTTAAGAAAACTTGGGCATGGCTTGCATGAGCAGAAAAAATCAAGATGATTGTTTAAAAGCAAATGCTTTTGAGGAAACTTGGATGTAGCTTGCATGAGAAAAAATCAAGATAGTTCAGTCATTGTTAAAACTAAGCACATGCTTTTTGAATACGCCAACAAAGAGTCTGCATAAATATCCAAAAGGGGAATGCTCATAGAGGCAAACAATTTCCTTTAACTACCTCTTGTTGATGAGTCTCAATTAACTCTAGCTGCCGCTCCAGGCTGGCTTGGGTCTCCACTACTTTTGCCACTTCAATCTGAAGTAACATAATGATTAATAAAAATATAAAAGAATAGTCAAGGAAAAACCAGCCTGAGGCGTAAACTATAATGTGAAAAAGAGTAGATAGGCATTTTCTGTTATACCAATAAAAGAAAGCATATGACATTATAATCAATTCAAAATTACCTTTTTAAGAGAGTGAATACAATCTTTGTTTTTCCTTTAAATACACTAAGAGGATATAGAAAGTAATGCTTTCTAAATTTTATTGTTAAAAAGAAAATGACGTTCATACAAAAAGGTATCATGAAAATAAACTTCACCTCAAGCCTCAGAAGAACATCTCGATTCTGCAAGATACGTTTATCCCACTCAGCTATTGCAGTAGCTTGCTTTCGGAATTTCCCAGTACACGCCTGTAGCTCTGCATTCCACTCCTTTATGATCTTCAAACACAATAAAAACATAAAATTTTCAGATGGATAAATGGGATTATTAAAAAAGAAAGTTCCGTGACTACATAAATTTGCAGGAGTCATAAAAGGGAAAGGTAGATCTTCTCCATGGAGTTTACTACCCTTTTCGCCTTCAAGGCGGTATGTGAATTTTCTAACAATACATTATCAGAAAGCTTAACGGGCATTCATCCCCTCCAAGGTTAGATTCAATATTTTTGGGATAGATCAGCATCTTCTTTTCAAATATTCAATGTCAATGTCATCCTATAAACTGCCCAGTTTAACTGAATCTAAAAATGAAGTCATAACTCATAAAAGAAACCGTGACAGGGAGAAAAAGTGATAATACCTCTTCAACAGTCTTCCAGTGATCTCAGATGGTAATTTTGGTGTGGTAGACACTGCAGTGGTAACAATCGCACTTGTCTACATCAACACATGAAATAGTAGAACCGACTGGTTAAAAACTATGACTTTGCTTCATATCTTCTGCGGTGGGAAACCTCGTAAATTGTCAACACAAAACTTTGCATTATGTCAAAGTAAAAGCGGCAATGATATATTTACAGTGTGCAAAATCTGTATTGTACATTAAAATCTCTCAGGAAGGAAAAAAAGCATTCATTTATTAGGAGAATGATGAAGAATGAAGGAAGAGAGATGACAAAGATAAATTCAATATCCTAAATAATAGTAAATGGCAACTCAAACAAGCATAAGTGAGCATATGCAGTTCCCTGGAAAAAAAAAAGAAAGTGGGCATGAGCAGAGAGCTACCAAGAATGACATACTATAATGTTGGAACTTGTTTATAACACAAAAATTATCAGAAACAGAGTATTCACTTCAAGAAAAGAAAAATAGAGATAACTGATGTAAAGATCTAATCTTCAAAGATAGTTAAACTGTAATTTAAAATAACCAAGAAATAAGTATACTCAACCAATGCCCAAAAAGAAGTGTACAGACCCACTACTTGAAGCTACAACAAGAGATGATGAGGTTTGGGCTACAGTGGTGCTGAAAATGGAAGGTACTGTAGCTGCAGAACTAGACAAAGGGAGACCTGCAAAATATATTGCAACACTTCAGCAGGAATAACATACCGCTTGATTTACTACCATAATCATTTTGAGAATAGATGCTACTAAGGAGAAATAAGAGTCCTTTAGTAGACAAAAAAAAGTAAGACAAGCACATAATTTCTCTGTTAAAATTTTGAGATGCCTGCAAGTTTCTCAGTCAAGGAATTTGAAATAATCTACTTGCATATGATCAAATTAGCTAACTACTGGGGATCTAAATACAAAAACCACTAAAAACCCCTACCACCAAATGCTTTCCATCTAGACAGAGTAGCATATTTGTGAAGTATAAGGCATTAGATAGAAATAACCATTAAAGTAGAAATTCATTTTAGAAGCACAAGGCCCTAAGCGATTATATGTGAAGAGTGAGAAACATTCAACAAGCAGGCAACAATAAACTACAATTTGCTCTCCCTCCCATTGAGAAAATAAATAACTATGAACTACATGACTTCTGGTGAACGACTTTGTGCTTGAATGAGTATGCAATATTGCAGTAGTTCAAACACAAACAGTACAAATGCAAAATAGATAGCCTAAAAGGAGAAAGGAATCAATATTTAGAATCACTGAAAGACAATACTAAGCTTCAAGACATAAAACGCTAGCCTTTCATCTAACCTGGATCCATCAATAATTTCTTTCATTCTATTATTCTAGCTTTCATGGAAGCAGCTTCACTTTCCAAAATCTTGTAGCATTGTTCCATCTCTATCAGACTTCTTTTCATGCTCAATTTGTGAATTCAACTTATCAAAATTTGTCAACTATTTTCGCCAAACATTCCAAGTTAAACCCAATAGCAGCTGCATCAGGTGAGTATGCCTCGATTATATGCAGTTCCTCAGCATCAAGGCTCTCCAAGTTAATGATTGTCTAAAGTCTATAAAACCAGCCAGCGAATCTAGGACTATCATCTAGGAAGAGACAATTGACTAAACAATATTTAGTCCAGGGAGAAAACCCAAAGGAATCACTTCTATAGAGTAAAAATCTCCTCCAAATCTGCAAATTTGTCCCCGCATAAACTTCCTCCTATAATCTCGAGAATGCCTTACATTTGGGACAGACTCTTCTGCTCAGCCTTCCCCAGATCCCTTTGTTCTGTGCCACTTACACAAACCTGAGAAGCACAGCAGAACAGCCCAAACAAACTTTCAGCAAAGTAAGGTGCATCAGGGATTGCTTCACTGGAAGAGGTGACTTCTACAGATTCTCTACAACCTACACGCTAGTTGTATGTTAATAAAGCTAATGTAATCCAATCAAGTACCACCAAGTAATTTAATTCGTAAAATACAATCATAGCCAACTGCAAACAAAACTTCATCTACATGTGAACTCACTATAGTCCCCAATCCCTCCCCATTGAACTCATAAGCCACCAAACATCTTAATTGACTATTAGTA